AATGAGGACCCTGACTGTGGGGAAAGGTGCTGACTCAATTTGCTAAAAAATTTGTAAACCGCTGAGAGAGGGCTGAAAGCCCTATGAAGTGGTATATAAGTCTAATAAATAAATAAATAAATAAATTGTAGAATTATTACTAAAATGTTTATTAGATGATATTTCTTGTTATCTCACCTTGTTCCGCCTTCTCCTTTAGTGAAAATGCATAAAGCTTTCTTAATCCTTTGTTCTTGGTTTCTTGGCCTTTTGACCAGGAACCCTTTTCCTTGGAGTACCCCAATAAAAGGCAATCAGAAAACATGCACCTCCTGTCTGGCGTTCATCATTGGCTTCGGCACCAGGCTCAGAACCGAGTTGGGGGCAACAAACACCCTCTTGTTTGCGGCAATCCCTCAAATATTGACAGCTCCTCAAATATACTGTCAGGGTTCCAACTGACATCCCCAGTTAAAGAAGAGTCTGAAGCTTGAGGTTCCTCAAAGTTCCATTTTATTAGAGATGTCATATTGGCACATCTGGGAAAACCCGAATCTGAAAGTTTCCAGGTTTTCCCCACCCCCCCAAAAAAGTTCAAGTCCCTGCCCAGCACCCACATGTCCATCACATGATCCAGTCAGGTACTATCCAAAACTGGAGATAACCTCCCAGTCACACCATCGCAGCTGCAGGGCAAGATGGCCTTGACTCTCTGAGAAAAAACATGTTATTTTGACTACCATATTTTTTGGAATATAAGATGCACTGGAATATAAGACGCGCCAAGATTTTGAAGAGGCAAATTAATAAAAAAAAAGTTTTTGCACTTTGCAGATCTCCCCAAAACGGGCCCATTTTTTGGTCAAAAAAAGGGCATGCATAGCCTTTAGGAGGCTTGTAGAGTGCGCCTGGGGACTGGTTGGGGGGGTCAAAAACGAGCAAAAAACGGCCCATTTTTAACTCATTTTTTGCCCTCCCCAGCCCCCAGGAGTGTTCTGGAAGCCTCCTAAAGGCTATTCACAGCCCTTTTTGCGAAAGGGGCGTGGTTTAAGGAGGCCAAAAATGCTGTATTCAGTGTATAGGATGCACCCAGGTTTTCACCCTCTTTTTTGAGGGAAAAAGGTGCGTCTTATACTCTGAAAAATACCGTATATATCACCCATACTCTATACCAGTGATAGCTAACCTTTTTTTGGCTCCCGTGCCAAAAGCGGGGGGGAGGGCAGGGGGGTTGTGTGCAGGTATGCCTCACCCATAATGCTATGTGCGCGACCAAGCATGCATGCAACCCCCACCCCGCGCACATGCGCACGTGACCAGCAACCTCCCACCCCAATTTTGGCACAATTATTATTTCGCCCTCCCCAGGCTCTAGAGGCTTTCTAGGAGCCTGGGGAGGGTGAAAACAGCCTCCCTCCACTGCCTCCGGAGGACCCCCAGAGGCTTCAGGAGTTTCCCGGAAGCCTCCGGAGGGCGAAAAATAGCCCTACAGGGAACCTGGAAGTCCGGGAATGGTGACTTCCGGTTTGTCTGTAGGGCCGATTTTCAACCTCCGGAGCCTTCAGGAGGCCTCCCGGTTGCAGGATTTGGGTTTCGCCAGTCTAGAGAAAAGAAGGAGTGGGGCGGGGGAACATGATAGCAGTCTTCCAATATTTGAGGGGCCGCCACAAAGAAGAGAGAGCCAACTTATTTTCCAAAGCGCCAGAAGGCAAGAAACCATGGGTGGAAACTCATCAAGGAGAGAAGCAACTTAGAATTAAGGAGAAACTTCCTAACAGGGAGGACAATCAACCAGTGGGACGGAAGTTGCCTCCGGAAGTTGTGGGTGCTTCATCCCTGGAGGTTTTTAAGAAGAGACTGGGCAGCCACTTGTCTGGAATGGTAGAGGGTCTCCTGCTTGAGCAGGGGGTTGGACTAGAAGACCTCCGAGGTCCCTTCCTGCTCTACTTTGATTGTGAAGGTTCTACCGCTTGTCTTGTGAGCATAAGGATCGACCTAGAACCAAACTGGGTGCCTTCCACCTTCAGGAACTGTAGCAGCATGAGGTCAGCGGTGTTCCCATGCATTCCTCTGACTTGCAAGAGGTGTGGGAAGCAGAGCCTGGCAGGACAGGTAGTTCTGCAACATTTTTTCCCCGCCAGAGCTATGGCGGAAGATGTTCCTCATCGAAGGAACTCTGGTCTCATTCCACCTCCTTCCATCTCCTTCCAAAATTACTCAACTTCTCTGTTCATTTCTACAGCAGCCCAGGGACGCGGTGGCTCAGTGGCTAAGACGCTGAGCTTGTCGATCAGAAAGGTCGGCAGTTCGGTGGTTCGAATCCCTAGTGCCGCGTAACGGAGTGAGCTCCCGTGACTTGTCCCAGCTTCTGCCAACCTAGCAGTTCGAAAGGACGTAAAAATGGAAGTAGAAAAATAGGGATCACCCTTGGTGGGAAGGGAACAGTGTCCCGTGTGCCTTCGGCGTTGAGTCATTCCGGCCACATGAC